ATCCACAGTAGAAATACGCCCTCTACGCTTAACGAGACTCACGGGTTTTTTCTCACGAATCTGCAATCAATGGGCGTCAACGCTGCCCATGTTAATTGGCTTGCAGATACAAAAATGGGATGGCCAGTCTTTTCTGAGCCCATCTTGAAGTATCAAATCCGGTTGTATAAATGGCAAAGTATGGGAAAATCTACTTGAGAAAAATATCCATAAATATCCCAAAGGTATATTAACCCTACACTTCAAGATCTCGCAGTGATACCTTCAGGCTGTGGGCCATCGTTTCTAGAAACTGAATTGGAAGATACCCCAAAGGCATTACTGTAGTTTTTGCAGACAGCCTCTCCCAAGATTCTGCGATTCACGGTCGTACCATGTCGTACCCACATTAAAACCGACATCTTTCATGGATTGGTTTCAGTGAAATTGAACCTTGGGCGTGCCACAGGGAAAAAGTCCTGTGAGGGAGGTCCTTCGTAGAATATGAAGTCTTCGTCCAGGCAGTCGATTTACTCAGTTTTGGTGGGTCCAATATTGTTTAATAAAGTTCCGAACTAAAAATTCCTCGCTTTTGGTGTAAACGAAATATGTTTGTTGGACTCCCCACTTTGGTACCACTAAAACCAACTTGTTCCTTTGGTTAGCACTCTCATCTTTGCTGGTTAAACGCCTTATCCCAGCTCTTCCATGCCTCTTCGATCACAGCATTCGCCACACTGCGGCGCAAGGGCTGGTACCTGCCCAAGATGAGGAATTTTTGTGATTTTGACCTAAACTGCACAACTTGGGATTTCACCAAGAAAACACGAAAAAAAACAGCTCTTGACCAGGAAAAACTAGAAGACATGAGAAACATTGAATATTTACCAAGCAAAAACGTACACAATTGGACTTTTACCAGGAAAAGGTGGGGATACAAAATCAGCACAAGTTGGAAAATCACATACATTATGGTAAATACTTATATGAAAATGCTGATTTTCACCCCAATGAAAATCAACGAGGGTAGAACGCTATAATCAACACCAACTATAGGAACCGTCCCGTTGCTTTCTGACATCAAGAAGCACAGTGCTCAAAATTGCGCTGGATGATGATGAACATGATGATGTGCCCACAAAAGTCGGAATATCAGCAGAGAAATTGGGAATAGATTTCCCATCAGCTGATCGTGCTGCTCCCTCGACAGCAACAAACATGGTGAATTTACCACAGATTTCACCATGATTGGACATGATTGGACCCATGTTGCTAAATGATGGTTGACTGGGGTAACAGAACCAATATATGACTTAATAGTGGTTAAAATATTAAATGGAATCCAAGGAACTATATCGGTTTTAGATGGTTGACTGGGTGTTTTTGGGGGACCATTGGAATGGTTTTTTACCAGTTCCAAAGAGTGCCGCATGAGAAGCTCCAAATTCTTCTTCTGCGAATGCTGCAACAGTCGTCATCCTCCAAGTCCTCCAAGTTAGAATTGAATTGTCATTTTGAATGAGAAAACCAATGGTGATAAGGGATACCCTCTGGTAAACTAACATAACTATGGAAAATCACCATTTTTAAAGGGAAAATCAACTATAAATGGCAATGTTCAATAGCGAACTGTTAAATTACCAGAGGGTACTTTCCATTGATCTAACATAGATATGGAACACCCACCAAATTTTGTTGATCGTTGTCCAAGGGCAACCGCAGCTTTTCCATTTTTAGTCCAGAGATTTACTGCAGAGTATCCCCCTTTTTAAGACCCAGAAATCTGCCAGTTGGACTGACCAGATCTTGATTCAAGAAAAGGAAAGGCCTTTTTTCACATATTCTCCAGAAAGTTCCAGATCTCAAACGATCTCTGTGTTTCAGTGATCAAAAAAACCTGACAGCCACATTTCCTCCAATCAAACATGGCTGGAAAATTCACCCCAATGAACGATGATTTTCACGAACGAAAGCTGCAACGGCTAGTAACCGATGATCGATGAGAGCCTAGTTGGGGACACCGAGTTGGGGAATGTCCATTCTCCCATGCCATTTTACCTAAGAATATTCAATAATGGTAAGATATCCCATAATCTATGATATCCCATTGTATAATATCCAGAAAATACCCCAGTATTCTCCTTAAATGGGCCATTTTCATCCATTTTCCATAGCAAAAAAATTCCACTCGTCCAACCACCCTTGAGATCCCTGACTTTGGCACCAGCGACACAAGACCTGAGGCTGCGGGAGTGCTGTCTCCATCCATGTCATTGGCTATCACCGTAATCATCGTCATATTACCCTCTGGTAAACTAACATAGCTATTGAAAATGGCCATAGACATAGTGGATTTTCCCATTAAAAATGGTGATGTTCAATAGCTATGTTAAATTACCAGAGGGTAGAGGATATCCCCATATCTCTGTTGCTGATGTAAAAAATCGGCAAAAAAAGCAACCCGGTGGCAGGTTCTAGATTCTACTCTCCCACGAAACTTGGAATAGGGGGTTTGATCCCCATGTTCAGTGGTTAAATGGGTTAAATCTTCATGTTATCCCCATGTTCTATGGGTAAATAAGCTATTAGCCTATGCTTGTTGGTTAGATCACTATTTAATCACCATTTCTGTCAGTGAAATCCCGTTTCAGTCACTGAAAAAATCCCGTCACAGTTGCTGGTGTTAAATCCTCCATGTTTATTACTGGCTAAATCAAGATGTTGGCTGGTTAAACCCCCATTGGTGCTGGCAAAATCACCATCTTTCCATCCTTCCCCGGACGCGGCCATTGGTGCCATGGCACTCTCGTTGACACCACGAGCGTCGTCCTCATCATCGAAGTCCGCGTCAGTGGTCAACAGGTCGTCTTCAGCGGATGTGGTGGTGCCTGAATCTGAACTGAGAAAGTGCCGGCAAAAGTCGATCTATTTGATTAGGAAATACAATTTGGCATGTGAAGTAGGAATTTGATTAGGGATGTTGTTAGGGATTAGGGATTTCTCTAAATCTATGTCTATATCTATTACATTCTATATATATCTTGGATAAAGTGATGACTGTCTATTCTATATCAGTGTATTTGATTCATATTTATATCCGCCGACCCCTGCCGACAGCAGGGGGAGCGCGTCAGAGAAGAGATTACAAGCAACATTGTAGGTTCAGAAAGCAAGGTTAGGCAGTGGGGCCCGTGGCCCGCAGGCCCAGTCCGTCCCTCAGGGCCCTGCAGTTTTGGTGTGGCGAAGGCGCCGTTTGTGAAGCTTACAGCTAGTTTTCTTGTAGGTTCAGAAAGCAACGTTAGGCAGTGGGGCCCGTGGCCTGCAGGCCTAGTCCGTCCCTCAGGGCCCTGCAGTTGTGGTGGGGCGAAGGCGCCGTTTGTGAAGCTTTTGGCGACTGGAAGACAGCTCAGACAGCTAGTTTTCTTGTAGGTTCAGAAAGCAACGTTAGGCAGTGGGGCCCGTGGCCCGCAGGCCCAGTCCGTCCTTCAGGGCCCTGCTGTTTTGGTGTGGCGAAGGCGCCGTTTGTGAGGCTTTTGGCGACTGGAAGACAGCTCAGACAGCTAGTTTTCTTGTAGGTGCAGAAAGCAACGTTAGGCAGTGGGGCCCGTGGCCCGCAGGCCCAGTCCGTCCCTCAGGGCCCTGCTGTTTTGGTGTGGCGAAGGCGCCGTTTCTGAAGCTTTTGGCGACTGGAAGACAGCTCAGACAGCTAGTTTTCTTGTAGGTTCAGAAAGCAACGTTAGGCAGTGGGGCCCGTGGCCCACAGGCCCAGTCCGTCCCTCAGGGCACTGCTGTTTTGGTGTGGCGAAGGCGCCGTTGTTCTCTGAAGCTTTGGGGCGACTGGAAGAAGCTTCAGACGCTATTTTTTTCTTGTAGGTTCAAGAAAGCAACGTAGGCAGTGGTGCCCGTGGCCCGCATGGCCCAGTCCGTCCCTCAGGGCCCTGCTGTTTTTTGATGGTGGCCGAAGGCGCCGTTTCTGAAGCTTTTGGCGACTGGGAAGACAGCTCAACACCTAATTTTTCTTGTAAGGTTCAGAAAGCAACGTTAGGCATTGGGCCCTGGCCAGGCAGGCCCAGTCTTCCCTCTGGCCCGCTGGCAGTTTTGGTGTGGCGAAGGCGCCGGTGTGAGGAGCTTTTGGCGACTGAAGACAGCCATACAGCTAGTTTTTCTTGTAGGTTGTCGAAAGCAATACGTTAGGCAGTGGGGGCCCCGTGGGCCCGCAGGCCCATCCGTCCCTCAGGCCCTTGCCAGTTTTTTGGGTGGCGAGGCGCCGTTTCTGAAGCTTTTGGGGACTGGAAGACAGCTCAGACAGCTAGTTTTCTTGTAGGTTCAGAAAGCAACGTTAGGCAGTGGGGCCCGTGGCCCGCAGGCCCAGTCCGTCCCTCACGGCCCTGCTGTTTTGATGTGGCGAAGGCGCCGTTTCTGAAGCTTTTGGCGACTGGAAGACAGCTCAGACAGCTAGTTTTCTTGTAGGTTCAGAAAGCAACGTTAGGCAGTGGGGCCCGTGCCCCACAGGCCCAGTCCGTCCCTCAGGGCCCTGCTGTTTTGGTGTGGCGAAGGCGCCGTTTCTGAAGCTTTTGGCGACTGGAAGACAGCTCAGACAGCTAGTTTTCTTGTAGGTTCAGAAAGCAACGTTAGGCAGTGGGGCCCGTGGCCCGCAGGCCCAGTCCGTCCCTCAGGGCCCTGCTGTTTTGGTGTGGCGAAGGCGCCGTTTGTGAGGCTTTTGGCGACTGGAAGACAGCTCAGACAGCTAGTTTTCTTGTAGGTTCAGAAAGCAACGTTAGGCAGTGGGGCCCGTGGCCCGCAGGCCCAGTCCGTCCTTCAGAGCCCTGCTGTTTTGGTGTGGCGAAGGCGCCGTTTGTGAGGCTTTTGGCGACTGGAAGACAGCTCAGACAGCTAGTTTTCTTGTAGGTTCAGAAAGCAACGTTAGGCAGTGGGGCCCGTGGCCCGCAGGCCCAGTCCGTCCCTCAGGGCCCTGCTGTTTTGGTGTGGCGAAGGCGCCGTTTGTGAAGCTTTTGGCGAGTGGAAGACAGCTCAGACAGCTAGTTTTCTTGTAGGTTCAGAAAGCAACGTTAGGCAGTGGGGCCCGTGGCCCACAGGCCCAGTCCGTCCCTCAGGGCCCTGCTGTTTTGGTGTGGCGAAGGCGCCGTTTCTGAAGCTTTTGGCGACAACGTTAGGCAGTGGGGCCCGTGGCCCGCAGGCCCAGTCCGTCCTTCAGGGCCCTGCAGTTTTGGTGTGGCGAAGGTGGGGCCCGTGGCCCGCAGGCCCAGTCCGTCCCTCAGGGCCCTGCAGTTTTGGCGTGGCGAAGGCGCTGTTTGTGAAGCTTTTGGCGACTGGAAGACAGCTCAGACAGCTAGTTTTCTTGTAGGTTCAGAAAGCAACGTTAGGCAGTGGGGCCCGTGGCCCGCAGGCCCAGTCCGTCCCTCAGGGCCGTGCAGTTTTGGTGTGGCGAAGGCGCCGTTTGTGAGGCTTTTGGCGACTGGAAGACAGCTCAGACAGCTAGTTTTCTTGTAGGTTCAGAAAGCAACGTTAGGCAGTGGGGCCCGTGGCCCGCAGGCCCAGTCCGTCCCTCAGGGCCCTGCTGTTTTGGTGTGGCGAAGGCGCCGTTTGTGAAGCTTTTGGCGACTGGAAGACAGTTCAGACAGCTAGTTTTCTTGTAGGTTCAGAAAGCAACGTTAGGCAGTGGGGCCCGTGGCCCGCAGGCCCAGTCCGTCCCTCAGGGCCCTGCTGTTTTGGTGTGGCGAAGGCGCCGTTTGTGAAGCTTTTGGCGACTGGAAGACAGCTCAGACAGCTAGTTTTCTTGTAGGTTCAGAAAGCAACGTTAGGCAGTGGGGCCCGTGGCCCGCAGGCCCAGTCCGTCCCTCAGGGCCCTGCTGTTTTGGTGTGGCGAAGGCGCCGTTTGTGAAGCTTTTGGCGACTGGAAGACAGCTCAGACAGCTAGTTTTCTTGTAGGTTCAGAAAGCAACGTTAGGTAGTGGGGCCCGTGGCCCGCAGGCCCAGTCTGTCCCTCAGGGCCCTGCTGTTGCGGTGTGGCGAAGGTCCCTCAGGGCCCTGCTGTTAGTTTTCTTGTAGGTTCAGAAAGCAACGTTAGGCAGTGGGGCCCGTGGCCCGCAGGCCCAGTCCGTCCCTCAGGGCCCTGCTGTTTTGGTGTGGCGAAGGCGCCGTTTGTGAAGCTTTTGGCGACTGGAAGACAGCTCAGACAGCTAGTTTTCTTGTAGGTTCAGAAAGCAACGTTAGGCAGTGGGGCCCGTGGCCCGCAGGCCCAGTCCGTCCCTCAGGGCCCTGCTGTTTTGGTGTGGCGAAGGCGCCGTTTGTGAAGCTTTTGGCGACTGGAAGACAGCTCAGACAGCTAGTTTTCTTGTAGGTTCAGAAAGCAACGCTAGGCAGTGGGGCCCGTGGCCCGCAGACCCAGTCCGTCCCTCAGGGCCCTGCTGTTTTGGAGGCAGGCCCGGTCCGTCCCTCAGGGCCCTGCCGTTTTGGTGTGGCCAAGGCGCCGTTTGTGAAGCCTGGCGGCTGGGGCCGCGGCTCTGCTGCATCCGTCCCTCGGAGTTCTGCTGTTGGGTGAAGCCTCCGTTTGTGATCAGTTCTGCACGGGCCATCGGTCGGTGCGACACTGCTTTCCGTTGGGCGTGCGATCGGGTATGGATTGCTCCGCGGTGATCCGAACTATGGATCGGGAGTGGTTACGTAACGTACCTGCTCCGTACCCTTTCGTAAGGGCTCATCATAGCATACAAACTGTGCTGATACTCCTACTATCTCCTACCTGCTATTACTTCTCCTCCTGCTACTGTTGCTGCTAAAACTGTTGCCACTGCTAGTAGAGGGAGCAGTAAAAAAAAAACAACACCAGCAGCAGTAGCGGCAATAGAAGGAGGAGCTGCAGTAGCAGTAGAAATAGCAGTAGCAGTAACAGTAGTACTAGTAAGAGTCAAAGTAATAACAGTAAAATAATCTAATGGTAGTAGCAGCAGCAGCTGCAGTTGAACTAGGAGTAGTAGGAGGAGTAGGCGCAGGAGTAGGAATAGGAAGAGCAGCAGGAGCAGGAGCAGGAGGAGGAGCAGTAGCAGTAGCAATAACAGTCGCAGTAGCAGTAGGAGTAGTAGTAATAGTAGCAGCAGCAGCAGTAGTAGTAGAAGCAGTAGTAGTAGCAGCAAAAGTAGAAGTAGAAGTACAAGCAGAAGTAGAAGTAGAAGCACAAGTAGAGCAAGAAGCAGCAGCAGAAGTAGTAACAGATTCGAACTTTCATATTGGCACTTGTTGTGGCGTGACTGGGTTCGGATATGGACCAGGCATGGAACGGGTCTGGATCGGGGTATGGATCAGGACACCATGCTTTTTTAGTTCTACACGTGCCAGGCAAAATAGAAACAGAAGGAGTTGTAGTCATAGCACCACTAGAAGTACAATAAGCACCTAGTGGAAGTAGAACCGGTCTTACAAGCCTCCAAGGTGCACTTGCAATATTGCTAGTAGCTAGTCAACTAGTTACATCTGTCCAACTACCGAAGCACACGGAGAACGTGAGCCAGCACCAGCAGCGAGAAGGATAATCACTAGTAGTGGCGGCGGCAGCAGCAGCGGAGGCAGTGGAGGCAGCAGTAGAAGCAACGGTAGTAGCGATGGGAGTAGCAGTACGAGAACCAGAAGCAGTATATATTAGGATAAAAAGCATCGTTAAGGCCAGCATCAGTCTTTCTTCAACGAGAAAGGGGTATGGATCAGGGGTATGGATCAAGGGTATGGATCAAAGGTATGGATCATGCAATATCACAGGGTATGGATCAAAGTATGGATCGGGGGGTATGGATCGTGTGTAGCTTTGGCGCCTTGATCCATACCTTGTATTTTGACTCGTACCCATATAGTTTTCTTGTAGGTTCGGGAAGTGACGTATGTGTAAACTCCCCCTCTCTCCCAGGGGTCGGCGGCAGGGGGCGTAGCCCCTTAATATATATATATATATATATCTATTTGTCGCATTGTATGCTATCGTGTCTTATCTGATCTTATCGGTCTGGTGCCATCACTGGTCAACCTGCAGGGGTAGATTTGTGGCGCTTCGCCAAGAGTGCCATGTCTTCAACCAATTGATCGATCATCCAGTGCCAAGTCAAAACAAATGATTGCAGCAGATCCAGTGAACTATGGATATATCATGATATATCTATATATCACCATAGTTATAGGGGGCCCCGTGTTTTTTTTTTAATTTGAAGTAACTTAAGTTGGGCCCCGGACGTCCCAAGATTCTGGATCTTTCTCAACTAATCGCCCCAGAAAAACCACTGGATGCTTAGCCTGGGATCAAAAACGATTCCCACATCCAAGGCATGAGATGTGTTTTTTCAAATTGCACACATCCCATGGATTTATGTTTTTTCCACATTGGATATATTGAAACCAAGGATTTTATTGCTTGAAACCGATTTGAGTAGCCACAGAAAAAATCGCAGGTGGTCGCCGCGCGGTAGAAATCCCTGGGTTTTGCGCCCAGATCGACCGCGGCTTCCACCAAGTCCTTCTCACAGCGCAAGAGCTCCACCTTTTCAGGATAAAGCTGGACGCGTCAATATGCTGGGAGTTCTAAAATATGGGTATCATTGGATTGGTTCAAGGGAAATTCTTAACCGGAAACCATGGTTGTCCCCATCAAATATAGGAGTTTCCTGCAATTTGTCCCTCAAACCAATCCATTGAATCTAACAAAAAATTGTGGTTTAACCAACAAAACTATGGGGATCTAACTAACAAAATTCGGATTTGACCAAGGGCAAATCCGCGTAGATCCAACATTCCCGGCAGGAAATCAACCCCGATATACCATATATCCCACATGCCATCTATCCCTTATATCCATCATAATGGAATCGCGCCGCCCCTAATATTGAATTCTACCCTAGACATCCTGCTTCAATATTGGATCTTCATCTAAGCAACCCTAGTAACTAGCATTCGTAGATATCAGGCGAATGAATTTCAATATCCCCATGTATAAAATTCATTTCACTGGGTTAATCAATCCTCATGAAGTAGTAGAAAAATTTCCCCAAAAGTCCCAAGAAACCTTCCCAGTTATTAACCCATATCGCCCATGGAACATACCGCCGAAAACCCATTAAAAATTATCATTTTGCCATGCTAAACTCTGGTAATCTGTCTGCTTGCTATGGAAATCACTATGTTTTATGGGTAAATCATCTCTAAATGGGCTATGGATTCCATAGTTATGTAACAAATATCCAGAAGGTAATATCCAGTTGTATTCTCCATATACAATATATATATATATATATGCCCAGTTAAATCACCATTGTGGTTGCTTTACCATATTTTCAATCGGCAATCATCATATCATCGAACTAAATTGTGTTTTGTTACTTCCATATCTGCAGTATGTAACAAACTACCAGGGGGTATACTATATTGGGTCTATATACTCCTCATTTCTGTTGCTTCAATTCCCATTAATCACTATAAATTTTCAGGAAATCACCGTTCAACCACCATTGTACATTACATATTACCCCTATGCCATCTCATGAAATATTGGTTGAAAATGGCTTCGCTAGCCGTCATCATCCCAAGTTACATCCCCATCCCTTTTGATAGTACCAACCCAAAACCCCCTATGATTCATGGTTAAGTCCCAATCAAATTTACCCATCAAGGCCAATTTCTTCATAGATTTACCACCCATTTACCATTTACCAATCATTTACCAATCATTTACCAATCATTTACCAATCATTTGCCAATCATTTACCAATCATATACCATCCATCAACCAAAATATTACCAATCTCCCCCAACACAATCCTCCATGGATTCCCTTCACCTCCTCATCGAAACTGGTCTCAGTATCGAAGCCTGCGAGGTAGGCCTGGCCATGGTAAAAGACATGTGGTCAAAAGATGGGAACAAATAAATTGGGATATGTTCGTTGATTTCATTGTAAATTAACACACACACACACATATATATATATATACATATATATATATATGTATATATCAGATCACAGAAGAATAGTAATATTTAATAATATATTGTAATATTATCATATTACCAAAAAAGTAGTAAATATTGGTATATGATGATTAAATATGTTAATTTTTATATATATGATAGAAAATAACAATACATGTTTACATATATTACATATTATATATATATATTGAAATGCATTAATATACCATGAGATACATTAATGTCTATCAATATACAATAGCATACAATGATATCCATTAATATGCTCCTCCATCTTCCAAGGTGTGCCAAATTTTAGACCGTAGTGAGAGTTTGCGCCCTTGCCCCGTGGCAAAGAAATAGTCCAGGGGCTGAAATCCATGTTTGATCAGAATTGGATGCCATTGATTCTTGAAGTGTTATATACTTTCCTGAGGAAACATGCCGGGCTCCGAACAACAATAACAAAAGTGAACCACTTCAAATGAAATTCTTTACTTGGGACACCCCCAAAAGTGAACAACTGCATATGAATTTCTTTACTTTGGACACCCCCAAAAGTAAAGCACTTCATATGAAATTTTTTACTTGGGACACCCCCAAAAGTGAACAACTGCATATGAATTTCTTTACTTTGGACACCCCAAAAAGTGAAGCACTTCATATGAAATTCTTTACTTGGGACACCCCCAAAAGATAAAGCACTTCATATGAATTTCTTTACTTTGGACACCCCCAAAAGTGAAGCACTTCATGTGAAATTCTTTACTTGGGACACCCCCAAAAGTGAAGCACTTCATATGAATTTCTTTACTTTGGACACCCCCAAAAGTGAAGCACTTCATATGAAATTCTTTACTTTGGACACCCCCAAAAGTGAAGCACTTCATATGAAATTCTTTACTTTGGACACCCCCAAAAGTGAACAACTGCATATGAATTTCTTTACTTTGGACACCCCTAAAAGTGAAGCACTTCATATGAAATTCTTTACTTGGGCCGCGCCAAAAGTGAAGCGCTTCATATGAATTTCTTTACTTTGGACACCCCCAAAAGTGAAGCACTTCATATGAAATTCTTTACTTGGGACACCCCCAAAAGTGAACAACTGCATATGAATTTCTTTACTTTGGACACCCCCAAAAGTGAAGCACTTCAAATGAAATTCTTTACTTGGGACACCCCCAAAAGTGAACAACTGCATATGAAATTCTTTACTTTGGACACCCCCAAAAGTGAAGCACTTCATATGAAATTCTTTACTTGGGCCGCGCCAAAAGTGAAGCGCTTCATATGAATTTCTTTACTTTGGACACCCCCAAAAGTGAAGCACTTCATATGAAATTCTTTACTTGGGACACCCCCAAAAGTGAACAACTGCATATGAATTTCTTTACTTTGGACACCCACAAAAGTGAAGCACTTCATATGAAACTCTTTACTTGGGACACCCCCAAAAGTGAACAACTGCATATGAATTTCTTTACTTTGGACACCCCCAAAAGTGAAGCACTTCTACTTGGGACGCGCCAAAAGTGAAGCGCTTCATATGAATTTCTTTATTTGAGACACCCCCAAAAGTGAAGCACTTCATATGAATTTCTTTACTTGGGACACCCCCCAAAAGTGAACCACTGCATATGAATTTCTTTACTTGGGACACCTCCAAAAGTGAAGCACTTCATATGAATTTCTTTACTTGGGACACCCCCAAAAGGGAAGCACTTCATATGAAAGTGAACCACTTCATATGAATTCCTTCACGTGGGCACCCTGCAGTGAACGTGCTCATGTGAGCTTGACCGCATGTTTATGCAAAAATCAAAAATTGAAGGGGCGGAAATACCCGTCTAAGGGGCGGAATTGCCCGGGCGCCGTTTCGGAGGTCTATCATATCAAGGGCTATCATTTCTGAAAAGGCACTGGCCAAACGCCGCTTTGGGGAATGTGGATAACGCTTGGCTCACCTGATCGGGAGACAAATTTATCAGGTGTCCAAAGGGTTTTGTCAGAGCCGTTTATCTGCGTTAGCATTCGGTGTACGGTTTAGTGTCAAAAGCACATACATGCTTTGGGTTATATCTATTTTGAGCTGCAGGGGCATGGCAAAATGTCGATTCATTGAATCCAGCTGTTTTTGGACACATCTTCAAGTGCAGGTTTCGTGGGTAGCGTCACCAATTCAGCGGATTGGCTACGGCAACGAGGCAACACCCTTTTGGCCGAAATCAAAGCCAGACTTCTAGTCCAAAGGTTTAAGAAGCTAAGGCCTCACAAAAGTTTCTGCCAATGGTTCACCAAGTCCATTCCTTCAGTGTTTCGTAAATTCCTGCTCAGGTCCATCCTCACAAAATGTAAGGGGCTGAAATGAGCGAGGGAGGATGTTTTCACTCGGAAGAATCATAACAGCAATAAAAATGATAAATATATATATAATTGTTATAATCCCTTCCCCCTAGTATTAAACACCCCCTTAGAAACCATGGTTTAGTAGGGAATTTCCACATAATTGGGACCATAGAAATGGGGTGTCTAATAATAGGAGAATGGGATTAGCATACCACGGATATCAAATGTCGTCCCAGAAATGAAAAGTGTTCACCGGCTGACTGCTCAAGAAAAACAACCAGATACAGCCCACGAACCCGAATGCTCACACGTATGTAAACGGTACAGATGTCGAAACACACGGATATGCAGTCACACAGAACACTTTTCTGCAATAGTTTATTTGAACAGTCTTGCACATATTTCCCCTGTTACCAGTCTGCAGGGTGGAGTGGAAAGTGTAGAGTGTGGAGTGTGGGGTGGAAAGTGTGGAGTGGAAAGTGTAGAGTGTGGAGTGTGGAGTGTAAAGTAGGCAGTGTGGAGTGTAAAGTGTGGAGTGGGGAGTGTAGAGTGGGTAAAGTGTAGAGTGTGGAGTGTGGAGTGTAGAGTGTGGAGTGTGGAGTGGAAAGTGTAGAGTGTGGAGTGTAGAGTGTGGAGTGTAAAGTGAGGAGTGTGGAGTGTAAAGTGTGGAGTGAGGGGTGTAAAGTGCAAAGTGTAAAGTGTGGAGTGTAAAGTGTAGAGTGTAGAGTGTGGAGTGAGGAGTGTAAAGTGTGGAGTGTGGAGTGTGGAGTGTAAAGTGTAGAGTGTGGAGTGTGGAGTGTGGAGTGTGGAGTGGAAAGTGTGGAGTGTGGAGTGTGGAGTGTAAAGTGAGGAGTGTGGAGTGTAAAGTGTGGAGTGAGGAGTGTGGAGTGTGTAAAGTGTGGAGTGTGTAAAGTGTAGAGTGCGGAGTGTGGAGTGTTGACTGTAAAGTGTAGAGTGTAAAGTGTAGAGTGTGGAGTGTGGAGTGCAGAGTGAGGAGTGTAAAGTGTAAAGTGTGGAGCGTAAAATCTAAAGTGTGGAGTGTAAAGTTTAGAGTGTAAAGTGTAGAGTTTGGAGCGTGGAGTGTAAAGTGTGGGGTGTGGAGTGTAAAGTGTGGAGTGAGGAGTGTAAAGTGCAAATGTGGAGTGTAAAGTGTAGAGCGTGGAGTGTAAAGTGTAAATTGTGGAGTGTAAAGTGTAGAGTGTGGAGTGTGGAGTGGAAAGTGTAGAGTGTGGAGTGGGGAGTGTGGAGTGTAAAGTGAGGAGTGTGGAGTGTAAAGTGAGGAGTGTGGAGTGTGTAAAGTGTAGAGTGTGGTGGAGTTTGGAGTGTAGAGTGTGGAGTGTGGAGTGCAGAGTGTGGAGTGTAAAGTGTAGAGTGTAAAGTTTGGAGTGCAAAGTGTAAAGTGTGGAGTTGTAAAGTGTAGAGTGTGGAGTGTGGAGTGGAAAGTGTAGAGTGTGGAGTGTGGAGTGTAAAGTGTGGAGTGTGGAGTGAGGAGTGTGGAGTGCGCAAAGTGTAGAGTGTGGTGGAGTGTAGAATGTGGAGTGTGGAATGTAGAGTGTGGAGTGTAGAGTGTGGAGTGTAAAGTGTAGAGTGTAAAGTGTGGAGTGCATTGTTGAGCCAGCCACATAAAAGAACTTTTGACACGGTATAAAACAGGTTGGAATGTCACAAAGTGCCACACGTGCCACGCAAAACGACATGACAACCTGCGTGGCAACCTTCAAAACGGAGATGTTTTGCCGCTTCCCCCATAGACACGGCGAGGCCACAGGAAAACCAGAGACTCGAGACGAGACACGTGGGAGCAGCAAAACGAGCATTTCGTGCGAGACTTCCGCCAATTTTGTTTCGACACGTTATCAAACAGGTTGTAATGTCACACAGTGCCACGCCTGCCACGCAAAACGACATGACAACCTGCTTGGAAACCTTCGAAAAGGAGAGGTTTTGCAGCTTCCCCCATAGACACGGCGAGGCCACAGGAAAACCAGAGACTCGAGACGAGACACGTGGGAGCATCAAAACGAGCATTTCGTGGGAGACTTCCGCCACTTTTGACACTTTGTAGCATCAAAATCGACGTTTTCCTACGGGTTTTCTTAGGAACATCTAAATTTGCTACCTCAAAATCGATGTTTCGTACGAGGCTTCCGTCAATTTTCAGCACATCTCACAAACTGCCACACCCGCCACTTGACGGAGCCCTGCCAATGCGATTTGCCAAAAACACGCAACACGACACGTCTAAAGTGCTGCGCCTGCCACGCAAAATGAAGATGGACACGTCCAAAGTGCTGCGCCTGCCACGAAAACTGCAACGCATCTTCTGAAAACGTCGCAAAAGTATTTCGCCTGCCACACAAAACGACTTTCGACACGTTACAACAAACGTCTGAATGTCACGAAGTGCCATGCCTGCCACGCGAAACGAAGCAACGAGACATGTGAAACCTCCAAAAATGACCACTTCTGCAGAACTTACCATAGGCACGGCCATACGGGAATCGCGCGAACGGTTGCGGACAGTTGCGAACGGTTGCGAACGGTTGCGGACACAAACGCGACGTC